GGAACCAGGGATTGAGCTCAGGCCCTTGCACTTGCCAGGCAAGCACTTATTCTACAGAGCTACCTCCCCGGCCAAGTACACAGAAATTTAGCAGTAAGGTAAAAGTTAGGTTATAAAAGCAATACACAACCATATTATTTTCCATATAAAAATGGTTGAAGCAAAAGGATTGCAAGTTCAAACCCAACCTGCCAACATAGACTCAGGGGAGGTAGGTCAGGCAGGGACATAACTCAATGTGAAGGACTGTGTTCAACTCCCAGTACTACAAAAAAAAAAAAAAAAAAAAAAAAAAAGGAAGTTTTTATAACATACTTTGTATCATTCCTCTAGCTTTGTGTAAAATATTGTATTAGGATTACCTTGGCTATTTGGACTATGAATCATTTTAGCAGCAGTAACTTGTAAGTTCACAGGGTGGCAATTCTGAGATGATTCATCCTCAATAAGTGGTGGAACAAACATTCTTTCTGGAGGTTTAAGATAGCTTCCTACTATATTATGCATTAATTCAGAATCCATCATCTGCAAAGAATAAAGAAATAATATAATATAGCATCTCTGCTTCATATCTGAAGGATGAAAATATAAAAATTCAGGCACAACATAACAAAATAACCATATACTATGGAGTTGTATCTTTACAAATGTAATAATTACAAATTTGACTACAATAAGGTCAGTAGTAACAGAAAGAAAAATGACAGCCATTCTACCTGACTTTAATAACCACATAGCTTTGAGTAAGTATGCTGTAGGTGGCATCAATTTGTCAATTCTCAGTTGCTTATAAGTCCCATGTACCAATTACAGTCTGAGCACCTCTCCATAGAAAGTATGACTCTTAAAGCAGTGACAGTGAACTTTTTAGAGCTTTCAATGACACAAACAGCCTGCTGTAGTGCATGTGCCATGGGTTCACTGCCGCTGCTCTAGGGCTAAAAGAGAAAATATACATTCTAAAAAAATACATCTTCTAAACACAAGCCAACAAATAAACTCGGATTTTCTAATACTGATTACTAGATGTTAACATACTAGTTTATTAAAGAATTTTTGAAGAGTAATTCTGAATATATGAAATTTTTGAATCTAATTACTGAATAAGATACATGTCTGCTTATTGCACCAACATTCTAATTATGAAGTTTAGAATGGTTGCATATCTGAAGAATCTAGAAGAGACTTATTTTGGTATTTATTTATTTTGGAAGTAGGCGAGTTTTTAAAAACATCTCAACCAGCAATTCTTTAACTTTTCTAAATAAATTTATTTTCCTTTCTGCAATTTAAATATTTTAGAAATATATGCTATTTAATAGATACTAGTTAGTACTAAATTCATGACCACATTGGAGGAACAAAGATAGTAATTATTCATAAATACTACCAATATCACTGGCACAATTATAAGAAAGCCTGTTTTAAAATGTAAGTTCAAGAATTCCATTATAGTCAGGATGGCCAGATAGCTCAGGGGATTACAGTGCCTGCTTAGGCAGATGCAGGGGCCCAGGGTTTGATTCCCGGGGCATGCTGAGACCATGAATAAGACTGAGCATGGTTCTGCATGCCTGTAATCCCAGTGCTTGGGAGGCTGAAAAACAGGAGGCTCACTACAAGTCCAATCTGTGTAGTGAGACTCTGTAGACCATGTATTAAATAAATAAAAATTAAAAAAACAGGAATTCCATTACAAAATTAGCTTATTTTGATTTTTGAGAATTGCACATTTTTCATTTTATCTTCTTAACCCACAAGGCAAAGAGCAAGCACTCCGTGTGACCATATCTCCTAGAAGGGGAAAGGGCACATCTAACTTTCTAGGATTTTGTATTTTGTCCATTGTCATAAATGGCTATTTTCTCAGACAATCAGATTAGTCTGAATTAAAGATTATATTATACATGATTTAGATCTACTATATTCTTTACTTGAATACTACAGGACTTTGACAATAATCAGACTTGAAAACTTAACAAAACTGGCAGCCCCAATTAGCCTAGCCTTGCTTAACCTGCTATCACTATTCTCTTGCTTGACTGCTACTTTGTAAAGCAGGTAAGGCAAGAATAGCCTAATAGTTGGCATTTTTGATTGCTAGTTTTCAAGGCTGATTATTTTTCAGGGAGGTATTATTTTCAAGGAAACATGACAGATGTCCCCTGAAGCCTCGTGTGCTCATAGGTGGGGCTTTTGGAGAGGTGACTGTAGCACCAGTATGTGATGCACATCTCTGGATTAGTTCACTGAGGAGTTCACAGCTGGGTGTAGTATTTGGAGGTAAAAGCCTGTTAGAGTTGGATCAGTGTGGGTGTGAAGGGTGTATAGATATCCTTCCTTCTCTCTTGACTCTTCTCTGCTTCCTGTCTGCTGTGCCATGAGCTGTTTCTCCTATGTTATGTCACACTGCATTGGAACTAGCCAACTATGGACTGAAATCTCTATGATCTTTGAGAAAAATAAACCTGTCATCCTTTAACTTGTGGGTACTGAGTACTTTGTCCCAGCAACCAGAAAGTAACTAAGACATGTAGCATAAGAAGATTTGCTAAAATACTGGATGTTCTTTGTTCACAACCATATTTTGCTCTCCTCACTGGTACCAGCACTCTTTTACTGATCATGTCTCAATTGGTAAGTCATGTAGATATCTGATTAGATACTGTTTCTCCAGAGCACATTTCATGTATTGAGGATATTGTTCTCTAAAAAATTAAGACAGAAAATTTAGACATAGCTAGCTCACTGCAAAGTAGAGATACAACCCCAAAGTATGTCTTCAGGGAGAGGTAGGTAGATGAAGCTATTCCAAAAACATTAGTTATTCAAGATATCTGACTCAGTTCTTAGCTTCTTTATTCTTTTAATTATTGGTAGGTGTTATGTTTTTTGTATAGGTGTCCCCTAAAGCCTCATGCAGTTATGGGGCGACTTCTGGAGTTTGTGATTGATTTTTGATTCAATGCTGGGATTGCATGTGCGAGTGCTACACCCTGGCTGTGCATTACAGTGTAAGGAGGGGAGAGGCTAGTTAGTTGCCTGAGTTGCTGCCACTCCTTTTGCTCTTGCTTTTTGCTGCTGCCATGAATGGTTGCTGTCTGCCATGTGTCACTCTGCCTTGGAGCCAGTGGAGTGTGGACTGAAACCTCCACTAACTATGAACTAAATAAACCTTTCTTTCCTTCATTTTGGGTGCCGGGTATTTGTCCTAGCAACAAGAGAAGAGTATTGGGACAGTAAGTAGGTTTCTTTCTTTTTCTTTTTCTTTTTTTTGACATCAGTTATTTTTATTTTAAAGAAAAAAAAA